ACATGTACCCACACACCTACACATACACACATATACACCCATATATACATATAACTACATATATTTAAAAAGAAAAAAAGATTACCTATATACATACAAGTATATATACATACATATCCATAACCATACCCACCCACTCCAAAAATGTGCCCACAATACACAAAAATAGCACATGCATGCCTATCTTTCCATATAAACGCATATACATATACATATCAAAAGACATATCAATGTTCAAGTTCAATTACATAGTTATATACATACAGTTATGTGTTCGTACTTATGTGTGCATAGCAACATTTTCAAAAACAAACAAAAAAAAACAAGATCATGTAATATTAGTCTTCCTATATAGTTATTCCTAAATATATTTAGTTAGATTTAGGTTGTTCTTATGTCGGCATTTAAAAATTAGTTCATTATGTTTGTTTAGTAATAAATCCGGATCTTTATGTTTTATTATGAGGATTTTTTCTTTTATGCATAAGTCGCATCTGTCTCTGAAATTTATTGTAGTTCTGGCTCTCAAGATATTCTTCCACTTTATTTGTGGGGTGAAGCCACCATCCAACAAATCCCAAGATAGATAGATAGATAGATAGATAGATAGATAGATAGATAGATAGATAGATTGTGTATATTTAGGCAGCAATTTTTCATTGATGCATGTTTCATTAAATAATGTAGATAAGTTTTGTGTATTTATTTTAAGTAAGTTCCTTTCATATTGTCTGATAAGCTTAATAACATTATCATTGAAAGACGAAAGGAAATCACCTTATTGATACATGTTTAAATTCTATCTAAGCTTTCGGCTTACATAAGCCATTATCAAAGATAACAATTACTTTTCACTATATCAACCAATACACAGACGAAACAATAATGATAGTCTGTTTTAGTTGCATGAAAAATTTCAAAGCAACGACTAAATCGTATATACGAGACGCAGAAGCGAAAATTGCGTCGCAGCTCGTGACATCACATATGAGTGAAATTAAGTATGGAAATCCGTTGGTATCAACTAATGGCTTCTGTTGCCAATTATAAGCATTTAAAAATGTTTGTGGAGATTTCGTAGTTTATTTTGTTCAGGTTAGGTTTCAACTGTTTTATGTATATAGCTTCAAGAATTTTTAGTTTTTGTTTATAGTTTCCATCTTCATATATATATATATATATATATATATATATATATATATATATATATACATACACACGCACATACATGTATATATATATATATATATAGGTATAGGGTGAGGTAAATGAAATAACTAGATGTTGCGGTGCATACGCTGGTGAGCAAATAAATAAGTTGTGTAGACATAATAGTGCTCAATGTGATTAGAGAGAACTAAGAAATATATATTAATAATTACACATATACCTACGTTTGGTATGCGACTTAAGTTTCGTTGGTTACCCAACTCGTCGGGCACAAAATAGCTTATTAGTTTTATGTATATAGCTTCAAGAATTTTTAGTTTTTGTTTATCGTTTTCATGTTTAAGTATAGTTGTATTTTCAACAAGGATTTTCCGGAATTGTGTACGCGGCCAGGTATGTTGTATTAAAACATGTGATTTCCTTTTGTCTTTCAATGATAATGTTATTAAGCTTATCAGACAACATAAAAGGAACTTAAAATAAATAGACAAAACATGTATATTATTTAATGAAACACACACACACACACACACACACACACACACACACACATATATATATATATATATATATATATATATATATATATATATATACATACACACACAAGTACGTCGTTGGTACAGATGGAATAAAATTCCGATAACCAAAAACACTATTCTTAAAAGAGTGATCAAGACAGAGTAGACAAATAATATTTCTTCAACATTATAACATATACATGTTATAAAATCACGACAAATATAGCAATTTTGTTTTAACACTACTAGTGTCTTATCGGTGATAGTGTTGATTTCAAAACAAATGCGTGCCAAATTATTATCGAGATAACTTTTTTTATAATATTTCAAAAACCATCCAATCAATTCACACAAAACTGTCATACAATGTTGGCAACACTGACCTGCGCAATCACTGAAATTTTCGTACTGATCTGCGCAATGTAAACAAACTGGCGCCATATTTGTTATCAGCACGGTGATTTGGGCGTGCCAAATTATTAGAAACGTGTAAGAATTTAGTGAAAAGATGGGCCGTAAAAGCAGTTTAAGTAATGCTGGAAAGAAAACTATCCCCTCAGAACTCTCAGAAGGTAAATCTACCCTAGAAATTGCTAAAATTATAGGGAGGTGTCATAAACAGTGAAAAAGTTCACCGCCAACCCTACACAAGTACGCAAAAGGGCAGATCAAGGCAAGCCGAGGGTTATTTCACGTCGTCTCATGTCAACTTAAACGAGAGGCCACGAAGAACCCTGGACTTACCAGTCAAGAGCTTTTCAGTCGCATTGGGGATCCTACTGTGTCGAAAAGTACTCGGTGTCGGTATCTGAGGGAAATAGCAACAACAGTCAAACCTGTATCGAAGCCTCCGAGAAATCACATTCAAAATCGATTGAAATGAGCCGAGGAAAATATGAAAATTGAGTTTTGTTCACAGACGAAACTCGAGCAACACTTGATGGGCCAGATAGATGGTGCAAAGGCTGGGTAATAAACGGACAGAATCGCCATCAACGTTTGAGACGCCAACAAGGCGGTGAAGGCATAATGATCTGGGGTGATATTATTGGAAAACATTAGTGGGCCCATGGAGAGTACCAGATGGCGACAAAATGACTGCTGATGCATACAAAGCGTTTATGAAGGAGCATCTTGAACTGTGGATGAAAAGGCAAAGAGCTGCCTTCAGAAGGGCCATTGTTTTTATGCAAGATAATACTCCCTCACATGCTGCTCACAAGACTACTGAATATTTGAAACAGGCTTCGATGGACCTCGAAAAATGAAGTGGCCAGCAAATTCTCCAGATTTGAACTCAATCGAAAACCTTTGGAGCATCATGAAGCGAAGACTGTACGCCAACGGATGACAATTCAGGAGCAACGCTGAGTTGTGGGAAGCAATTCTTGACATATCTCGTGGCATTACAGCAGATGACATCCTACAATTAACAAATTCTATGGATGGTCCACTTCTTCAAGTAATTTCAAAACAGGGAAAGCACATTCCCTATTAATTTGTTTAAAACTGTGTCTTTGTTTGTATCTGTTATTATTTGTTTGATTATCATATTTATTAGCTTCTTTTGATCATAAACATTCACGTGCAACATTAATAACCGTTTTGTTTGCTCAATTCTGGGAATTTTACTAAACCTTTCTAATAATTTGGCACACTCAAAATCACTGTGCTGATAATAAATATGGCGCCAGCCTATTTACATTGCGCAAATCAGATCGAAAATTTTAGTGATTGCGCAGGCCAGTGTTGCCAAGATTGTGTGAAAATTTTGAGTGAATTGATTGGACGGTTTTTTGAAATATTAGAAAAAAAGTTATCTCGATAATAATTTGGTACGTATATATATATATATATATATATATATATATATATATATATATATATATATATATATATATATATATATATAACATTGGTAATAGAAGTATTGTATTTCGCCAATATATTCTTTGGCCTTCCTGAAGAAAAAAATTTTTCAAGATATTATAACATGCATATGTTATAACTTTGTGTGTATATATATATATATATATATATATATATATATATATATATATATATATATATATATATATATACAGGTTTTGTTATTCACTCCCACTTTCATAATTACAAGTAAAGTTGTAATAATACCTAAAAACCACATAGAAACTTCATGTGCATTTTTCACAAATGTGCATTTTTCACAAATGTGCATTTGTCATGTGTATTTTTAACAAATGATGAAATAATGGTGAATTCAGAAAATACTTCGAAATATTCACATTTCCTTTGGAAATATGCAAATATTCAGTGATGAGGAATAATTCTGTCCACAACCCCACTTTCACCTGAAGACGGTTGCGAGACCAGACCAGAAACACGTGTCGTGAAATTATGTAAAACAAAGTATAATATTTTTCTCAATAAATCCACATTACAACCAAAACGTTTGCGGCACCCTCTTCTTTTTAATATACATACTTTTCTCTCGTTGGAACCACTACAACATATTTCCTTTATATATATATATATATACATATATATATATATATATATATATATATATATAGTCATCTACATATAAATCTGTTTCGCCGTTTCACAGCTCTTCAGTGTGCCTAGACATAAGATCAATGCAGGTCGAAATCCCACACATTTGGCATCAGTCGGACATCCTACCCCTAAGCTATCGCCGCCCGGCAGAGAAATGGAAATTCTAACGTATTGTATATATATATATATATATATATATATATATGTGTGTGTGTGTGTGTGTGTGTGTGTGTGTGTGTGTGTGTGTTACTGATGCTTTAATTGCATTTTTCTCAACGGCCTTTGATTTTCAAGCTTCTAAATTGGCAACACATTGTCATGAAATTTAATACAAAGAAAAATATTATAAATGGGAAAACTATGGATTGTGTTAGATTCCCAGTGAGGCAATTATTTACATTATTTCATCAATTTTAAACAGATAACCGGCCTTTTCATTTTGCAAATGTCTTTCACTTTCAATAAATCATTCGTGAAATTTTTAAATCCTTCGATATAGAACGCCGTACTTCGCTCTGCAATAAAACGCAACACAGCACAAATTCCCCCAACAACATTCATTGTGTAACTCTCACAAAATACGATATTGCAGAAAATGCTGATATAGATGATTATATTAGTTTATGTTTTTAGCAAATCCCAGTTATGCCGACCATTCATCGTCAGATAGGTGACCCACTGTTACCCTAACACACTTTGGCCTTTGATATGTTCTGAGGGTGTCAAATTTTCAAAGCCTTTCTTCCTCATTATGTGTCCCCGAAATTTTAGATGTCTCTCTCTCTCTCTCTCTCTCTCTCTCTCTCTCTCTCTCTCTCTCTCTCTCTCTCTCTCTCTGAGTGCAAATCATTTTGTTTTCATTTTTTTATCAGACGCCCCGGAAACGTCGTGAATATTACAGTAAAGATGAGGACAATATCAGAAACAATGTAAATAGTGTAAATACTTACAATACCTCATCTCAGAAATATAGATGAATCCTGAAGAAGGACGGAGCTTACAAAAGCCGAAACGTTGTGAATATGACAGTAAAGATGAGGGCAATAGTCCAAACAATGGGAATAGTGCAAATAGTTACAATATCTCATCTCAGAAATATAGGTGAATCCCGAAGAATGACAGAGCTTACAAAGGTCGAAACGTCGTATATTACAATAAAGATGAAAACAATAGTCTAAATAATGTAAATAGTTACAATACCTCATCTCAGAAATATAGGTGAATCCTGAAGAAGGACGGAGCTTAGAAAGGCCGAAACGTCGTGAATATGACAGTAAAGATGAGGACAATAGTCTGAATAATATAAATAGTGTAAATAGTTAGGGCACTTCATCTCAGAAATATAGACAGATATTGAGAAAAAAAGCTTAGAATGTTTAACATTGACATAACATAGTGAGAAACGTCTGTCTATATCTCTGAGATGAGATAATATAATTACGTGAATTATTTACATTCAATCTCAAGAAAGAAAGAAAAAAGAAAGAAAGGAAAAAAGGAAGAGAGAAATGAAGAAAGGAGAATGGTTATCCACAACTTTGTTGCTCGAAGTATTTTTTCTTAATTTCTGAATTGCCATCAGAAATGAAAAAGTAGAAGGATAAAAGGAAATACTGAAAGAAAGAAACAAAACAAACAGAAGAAAGAGACAAACGAACAAACAAAGAAACAAGGAAACAGAGAAACAAACAAACAAAAGAAAGAAACAAACAAACAATAGAAACAAACAAACTAATCAAAGAAAAGCAAAAAAACAAAGAAAGAAACAAACATAAAAGAAAGAAACAACCAAAAGAATGAAACAAATAAAAAACAAACAAAAGAATGAAAGAAACAAAAGAAGAAAAACAAACAAAAGAGAGAAACAAAGATAGAAACAAACCAAGAAACAAAGAAAGCAACAAAAGAAAAAAACAAACAAATGAAAGAAACAAAGAAACAAAAAAAAGAAACAAACAAAAAAGAAACAAACAAACAAAAGAAACAAATAAAAGAAACAAGCAAACAAATGAATGAAAGAAACAAAAGGAAGAAAAAACAAAGAAAGAAACAAAGATAGAAGCAAAGAAACAAAGAAGGCAAGAAAGAAAGAAACAAACAAACAAAAGAAAGAGGAATCAGTAACTGATACGTGAAAAATTTGAAGAAAAACGAATGACCAAAAAAAAAAAAAAAGAAAAGAAAAGATTCTTGATTAAAAGCAAATATAACGGATAAAACGACTTTGATCAGAAAGAGAAAAAAAAAATGGCTGATAACTGAACGTACAGGGTTGATTTGCTGATGTGGAAAGACAAACGCGTGTTGCGAAGACCTCAGCAAGAACCGTTGCAAAACGTTATGCTGATTCCTGGCAATAGGCTTGAATGCTAAACAAAAATAAAAATTATCAGAACGAAACAAAAAAAAATCAGTGATAAATACACAAAAAAAAAAAGAACAAAAAATGTAGTAAAAACGGACGGGAAAACACGAAGGGAAAATTTCCGAAATGTCAGGCGTTAACTCTTGATGTCGGAAATGGTGACTGGGTAAGGTTCAATGTTCTACCACCGTAATTTGCGAATAGATGTGACGAGTGATTAATATTATTTTGTTATTGTCCGTTTTCGTTTATTGTTGAGTGTATTTATGAGTGCATAAAGAGATGAGGACAGAAAGATAGAAAAAAAAAAAAAACCTTCTGAGTGAGTGAGTGGTGAGTGAGTGTTGTGTTTTCTCTTTTCGTTCTTTTCTTTCTACTTTCCTCCGATTTACTCGCAGGTTTGTTTGTTTGTTTTTATGACTGTGAGAAGAGAAAAGCTGTGAAATGATTAGTACTCTTGTTTTTTTCTTTCTTTTATTTCACCCATTCATTCTCTTTTGCTTCCACGGTTATTTTGGGTGATTTTTTTAGATGGGTAACATTCTGTGAAGTGCCTGACGCTTCTCATTTCTTTCTTTCTTTCTTTCTTTCTTTCTTTCTTTCTTTCTTCTGTCCATTCTCTTGTTCTTTCTTTTTCTCTGGTTTATTTTTGTGAGAAGAGACTATTACTGTGAAGTGTGTGGTTTTTCGCCTCTTTCATTCATTCATTCTTTCTTTCTTTCTTTCTTTCTTTCTTTCTTTCTTTCTTTCTTTCTTTCTTTGTTGTGTCCGTCAGTCCGTTCTTTCGTTCTTTCTTTTTTTTTTCTGGATTTTTATTTTTGTGAAAAGAGACTGTTTCTGTGCAGTGTGTGGTTTTTCACCTTTCTTTCTTTCTTTCTTTCTTTCTTTCTTTCTTTATTTATTTATTTATTTATTTATTTATTTATTCCTTTTTCGCTCCGTTGTTTGTTTGTTTCTTGATTTTTATTGTTGCAAAAATAGACCGTTTCTGTGAAGTGTACGGGTTTTCTTCTATGTTTCATTCTTTTGTCTGTTCCTCTGCCCGTTCTTTCTTTCTTTCTTTCTTTCTTTCTTTCTTTCTTTCTTTCTTTTTACTTTCGTTCACTCCTTCTTTCCTTCGTGCACACTTTCTTTCTTTTTTGCTTCCTTGCTTTTTATAATTGTGACAAGTTACATTTTCTGTGAAATGCTTTCTTTCTTTCTTTCTTTCTTTCTTTCTTTCTTTATTTATTTATTTTACGTTCTTCTATTCTTTCTTTATTTCTTCTTTCTTTCTTTCTTTCTTTCTTTCTTTCTTTACTTCTTTCTTGTTTCCTTGA